GATTGTAAGATGACCTCAATGGCCTCAAGTCTGTATCTGGCAAAACTTTTCATCTAGTCTGGGAGAACAGGTAAAGGTAAACTCACTTTCCACACATAACATACATAGTGATTCACTGTGAATGCCTAACAAAAAGCAAAATGCTGCATTTACATGCAATAGCAATGGAAGTGAAATCCATGTGACTGTACTCAGGGGAGGCCTGCACACAGCATTGTGGATTCATTAGCTGCCAGAAAGAAGATGACTCACAGTGGTCTCCCTGACCTCTTTCTTGTTTTTCTCTCATTTATTTCCTACCTTGCGTCACTAGTGAACTTAAACATGCAGCAAGATGCCTGCTTATCATTCCACACTACATCAACAGCAGCACAAATGAAACACCACCCATAAATGGAAAATAGACATGTAATTCACCTTTTCAAAATAAAAATGGGCAAAACTTAATTTAGCAAAAACATTGTTCAGGCTAGACCAACAATCACTTCGGCATTTTCCCTGCAGCACAGAAGCAAATGAACTGGCAAAAAATTGTGTTTTAAGAGAAAATTATGGCTTCTGAGTGAGTGGTTCTTTATCTTGCAGAGCCTGTGTGGGGAGAACAGTGAATCCCCCCCACCCACCACCACCCCGACTGCAGTTGAGGTTTGAGGCTGCTCTGGTATTACCATATACACTCACAGATTCGCACACACAAAAAAATACTGCCACACCTCATACTGGCTGTGCCATGAATATCAATGGTCGCTCTCCTTTTGGACTCACTCTACAAAACAGACAGTGAAAAATGTTCATGCATGACTACGTTCCACCTGGGCCACTCCATATATCCAGTTTAATGGGATAATGAACACGCAGTATAAAGGAATATTGCATGACACCAAGCTGTTATATACAATGCATGACTTATGTCACTGATTTGGCTCCTTCAAGGGACTATATTTTTGGTAGCTGTTTCAAGTGGTGTGCCAGTGACATTCCAACAAGTCACCTTGACAGTGGTGTGAATAATTTGGGTAATAAAAAGAAATGGCATTCACTCTGGTCTGGAAAATAGCAGTTGTACTGTGTGAAATACTCTGGGTAAATATTTTTTGCATTAGTCTGGAAATGATTTTGCTGACACGTTTGCAATGTTCACACCCCCCTTGATTCCAATTCTTGCTAGCCTGGTGAGGGGGGAAAAAAATCCTCGCTCATTTTTAATGGAAAATGCAGTTTCCATCCAGGAATAATAAGAAAATAATTTGAGTGAAAAGTGTTTCTTGGAGTGCAAGATCCTTGAGGGATTACTTTGTGTCTGCGTCGTTCATCCCCACTTCACAAACACAGCTGGAACTATTCTGACTGCTCTTTTGTCTGAAAGAAGAGCAATCGAGAGAGGTGCCCTGTGCAACCATCCAGGTGCTGAGCTTGGCACAGAAAAGAAGAAGAACCCTGTCAACCTTTCTAATATGCTTGCCTGTCGTCAAACAAAGAGGATGCTTACACACAGGCATAATTGAAGAGATCATACAGTACCTGCATTTCCTCCTGCCAGGCAGTTTCCAAGTCTCCACAGCTGTGCAGTCAAACTATCCCGCAGAGAAATGACAAAAACAAGGAAACAAAAATCACAAAGCCAATAAGAAGCACTGAAGCTAAATTAGCTCTGTCTTTCTGGGAAACAATGGTCCTGATGGTACTGACAAGGGAGACCCATTGTGTTTTGATCCCCATTCACAGCAGAAAAAAAGAGAGAAAAACTGCATGATTTTTTAGATTGTCTAAAAAGATGCAATTAAATAGAAAATAAATAGGTATCCATAACAAAGACAATGCAGTACCAGATGTTAGTGTTGCTCTCGGAATACCACTATCCCTAAAGACCACTCACTCTGACAGACATCAGGGCTGTACAAACACACACACACACACACACACACACAAAGCAAACAGCACATAATCCATCAAAGCTGACTTCTCTACCACCTAGTGACCAAAAAAGTTCATTTGCTACGTTGTGGCACTTCCCACAGGGATGACCCCCTGCAAATATATGCTCTTATCATGCTGTAATATGACTTATTTACAGGGGTGACCACCTTGTTTTCTATTTTTGATAGATAACACTGTTCCTCTAGTACCACAAACACTAAGCAACTCACTGAAAAGGCATTTAAATGTCAAATTTGCGTCAGTATCAGAGAGAAAGTAACTGGTCAGTTCGTTTGCTTGTCATGAGAGATTTTTCTTGATTTTCTCTACAATATTGTTTTTCATTTTTATTTATTTATTTATTTATTTTTAGAAAGAGGGGCAATACATATTAATGAACATTTTAACAAATGTAAATATGCCAGATTATAGCCTTGGGCTAAAAATCTATGTAAAGATAGCGATAGATAGATAGATAGATAGATAGATAGATAGATAGATAGATAGATAGATAGATAGATAGATAGATAGATAGATAGATAGATAGATAGATA